AAAAGAACAAACTGGGAGGTATCAGTTTACCTGACTTTAAGCTGTACTACCAGGCTGTAGTGATTAAAACAGCTTGGTACTGGCACAAAAATAGAGGTATTTTGTTTTATTTTTTTAGTGTAGACATCCTAGTGGGTGTGAAGTAGTATGGAATTGTGGCTTTGATTTGAATTTCCCTGATGTCGAATATCTTTTCATGTCATTATTGGACACTTGCATATCTTTGAAGAAGTGTCTGTTCAGATCGTTTGCCATTTTAAATTGGGTTATTTGGTTTTTTTTCACTGAGTTGTAAGAGTTTTTTAGTATGTTCTGTGTACTAGACCCTTATCAGATAAATCATTTACACATATTTTCTCCCATTCTTTGGCTGTCTTTTCACTTTGTTGAAAAATCTCATATTTTGAATCCTAGTTTAAATTTCTTTTGCTATATCATGTATCTTTTGGATGAAAGACCTTATGAAAGTCTCCTCTGATGGAAACATATACACACCCCCCCCATCACCATCATCATTATCATCATCACCCAGTTGCGAAATATTCATCTCATAAATATTGTGTCTTTAGCTCCTTGTTGGCTGCTGTGGGCTTATAATATAATTTAAAGCCATAGTCCCCTTTTTTAAACTTCCAGTCTTCCTGGGGAGATAAACTGGAGAACATGGCATGGTTTCAGAAGGCAAACAAACCTTGAGTCCTCATATTTTCCGAGCACGACAGAGCTGAGGGTGCTGTATGTGCCACTCAGAACCTCCTTCTCTTCCAGGGCTGCGGGGCCTGATGCTGTCAGTCATGCTGGCCTCTCTCATGAGCTCCCTGACCTCCATCTTCAACAGCGCCAGCACCCTCTTCACCATGGACATCTACACCAAGCTGCGGAAGGGAGCATCGGAGAAAGAGCTCATGCTTGCAGGAAGGTAAATGCGACTTCCCCCTGCCATGTACCACAAGCACTTGAATGATCAGAGAGGTTCCACCTGTGCTACCCCTCGAGCTGGGGAAGACTGGCAAATGCCTGGGTGGAATGGGAGTAACCTCTGTGGCTGGTTATATTTGCCCTTCAGTGGCATTTAAACTTTAAATTGGAGATCACTGAACAATGCCCCTCTGGAGTTAGAAGGGACATAAGAGATCATCTAATCAAACCCTCAGGCTATCAGTGAGCAAATTGAGGCTCATCCTGCTTAAACCCAAGCAGCCTGGACAGTGCAGAACCAGGACTGGAATCTGCAGCGAGCTGAGTCCTTGTCCAGGGCTCTTCATTCTGCCCCGCGCTGTCCTTGCCAGCCCTCCACACTGCAGCTCTCCACTTTGGGTCTTTGAGACCCAAATGTCTTTGATGCCTCGGCCACGTGATACAACATTTTGCAGGATCATTGTGAAGATCAAATGAGATTGTGCTTGTGAATCTGCTCTGTAAAGTCTAAAATATCAAGCTATGTGCGCATTTACTGTTGTCAAATAGGCTAACAGACACAACAGTATACATAAAACTGGGCCGAATGTGCTCATTATCATGATCACCCACGGAGCAAGACGATACTCCAGATAGAGCATTAACAGGAGCTCTGCTGTGTCTGTCCATGGAGCTGTGGCAGGTCAACCTCCTCAGGGCAGAGGGAACAAGTCCCTGGGATGTCAGCCAAGGTTAAAGTTCCCAGTGAGTGCAGGAAGAGTATGGGCTGCTATCTCATCACTCTCATCAGCGAGATTAGGGAGAAGGAAGGAAAGGAAAAATGGCAGGCCACATTCAGGGGAGAAGACACCTGGCACCCAGGACAGATCTGACCAGGCTGGAGTCTACTTCTCTGTGCCATAGGAAGCCACCTATTACTTTGGCTGGTTTTTCCTTAGAAATGCACTTTTTCCTGTTATTTACATGGCTCGAATGCAAACTGGGAAAGAAAACCATTTTGTTGCTTTGCTTGTAACTGGATCCCATGGTCCCAAGATGATGTTGGGGTTCAGATTTTTGTGCATCCCATGACTGTGGCCCTAGGGCTTGTCCCTGCTGTACATAAGCTCACAGTGATGTGAAACCATTCCAGACTCTGCCACGGGGACTGCAAGAGCAATCAGGGGCGTGCCGCCTGTGGCTGGGGAAAGCTTCTGGGGGAGGGAGAACCTGAACTGAGTCTGAAGTGGTGGGCAGGATTTGGGTAAGTGGGGGGCAGTGGGAAGGGCATTCCAGGGGGAGAAATATGGGAGTGAAAACACTGCTTGGGGAAGGTCAGTTGATGACTCTTTTGCCTTAAAATCAGGCAAGTGAGGTAAGGGACTCACAGCCTTCTTTCTAATTAAATCATGAGCACAAGTACTAAGTGCTCGTAAAGGAATCCCCATTCTTTTCGGGACTCAAAGTGAAACTCACGTGGTAAAGAGCTGGCAAAACCTGGTCATGTCCCTTCCTACCTAGACTGTTCCTTTACAAGCCCTTCTTGGCTAGTGTTTATAACTTCATTATGAAGAAGAAGGAGGGGAAGAAGAAAATTATAATAGTTTTTACTATTTCTACAGTGTCTACTATTTGCAAGGTGCTTCACGACCACTAATCCCTGTTCCAACCGTGCAAGGTTGGTCACATTCCCAGTTTACAGATGGAGAACTTGAGACTCAGAGAGGTTCAGACATGTGTCCTGTGTCACACAGAGACAATAAGGATTTGAATCCAGGATTGTCTGGCCCCAAAATTCATACCTTGTTCCTATAATCTGTTGCCTCTCAAAGTGGGATTCTTTTATGCCTGGGTGCCTGGGCCTAGGTAACTTTTGAAAGTCAAGTGAGTTTCACTTACTCATAGGCACACATGACTTTCCTGTGGGAAGATGGAAGAAAAAAGCCTCAAGAATAAATGCGATGATTATTTTTCCTTGCTGTGGTCATATTTGCATAATATATGAGATACATGGCGATAGGTATTTATTCAAGTAGAGTTGTTTATTGACCCTCTGTTGTGGGGGCTTTGATTTCAGGCTGTTCATCCTGGTGCTGATTGGCATCAGCATCGCCTGGGTGCCCATGGTGCAGTCGGCACAAAGTGGGCAGCTCTTCGATTATATCCAGTCTATCACCAGTTACTTGGGACCACCCATTGCGGCTGTCTTCCTGCTTGCCATTTTCTGGAAGAGAGTCAATGAGCCAGTAGGTATCATTCCAGCATGTCCAGAAAAGCCACTGTGGCACAGAAATCCCCACGTGGGTTTGTATTTTCTGGGTGGGAAAGATCCTATTTCCCAGAGACCTTGAACAGAAATGGATGTGCTGCCGAGGGGTTCGTAGGGGAAGTCTCCAGGGACCATGGGGCACTCCATTGGAGCAAACTCCTTGGGAATTGATACAGAGTCCACATTCTCTCTGACTCCTCTGTCCTCCTTGCTATAGGTTCCCAACTAATGTTGTACATTTTCTGTCCAATCTTGGTGATTTTGACCTGACTGCCTTCTTTCTTCTTTATTTTTCTTTCTTTCCTTATTTATTTATTTATTTATTTTGAGACAGAGTCTCACTCTGTCACCTGGGCTAGAGTGCTGTGGCATCAGCCTAGCTCACAGCAACCTCACACTCCTAGGCTGAAGTGATTCTCCTGCCTCAGCCTCCTGAGCAGCTGGGACTACAGGCATGCGCCACCATGCCCAGCTAATTTTTTCTATTTTTAGTAGAGATGAGGTCTTGCTCTTGCTCAGGCTGGTCTTGAACCCCTGACCTCAAGGCATCCTCCTGCCTCAGCCTCCCAGAGTGCTAGGATTACAGGCGTGAGCCACCACTCCCAGCCTGACTGCATTCTTTCTGCCTTCTCCCTGGGAAGTGTGTTCTCTGGGTGAGCATTTCCAGAAGTCCTAGCACAAGATGCCTTCAGTGCTCTGCCATGAACTTGTCCTTCCAGCCTGCAGTTTTCAGGGCCCAGTGAAGACAAAGTCCTAGTGCTCTAGAATTTTACACATAAAACAATATAAGGTACATTAACAATTGAGGGATAAATTATGACATATAATATAAAAAGGAAGGGATTCAAGAAAGGATACATTGACATGAGCTGCAACTGTCAGGGAAGGCTTCTCGGAGGAGGAGGGGCTGGAAGGATTTGAAATTGGAGAGGGAAGAGAGAGCATTCAAGGCAGGGAGGGCAGCAATGCCCAGAAATTTTAGGCAGAAGTAAAAGGATAGGGGTGAGGGTGAAGGACTTGTAAAGAATATCACCTGGCTTGAGAGGGAGTGAATGTGAATAATGGAAGACACAGCTGGAAAGGCAGGTCAAGGTTTGGTTAAGAATGGCCCCTTTGGTATGGAGTCTTTAGGTTTTTCTGAATATAATATGTCATCGGCAAACAAGGACTATGTGACTTCTTTTCCAATTTGGATGCCCTTTCTTTCTTTCTCTTGCCTAATTTCTCTGGCTCAGACTTCCAGTACTATGTTGAATAAAAGCAGTGAAAGTGGGCATCCTTGTCTTCTTCCTGATCTTAGAGGTTGGCGATAACAGTAGCCACAGGTGGAGAGGCCAAATTATTTTTCAAGTTAAAGAGAATTTTTGGAATTAAGGTTTTGGGTTGACATCCTATGCCAGTTATTAGACACTGTACCTCATGATATTATGAATCCTTGTTTTATGCTCCTGGTGAAATCATGTTGCTGAAACATGACAGATAAATACCCTGAAGGCCTCGCGTAACACCCCTGGCCATATTCTGAAGTCCAGTGTTCTGGGTTCAGATGGCCTGGAGCTACCATTTCTGTCACCTCTATTTCTTTGCCTTTGTCCTCGCCAAGCAGGGTAGAATGCCCAGCTGTTTTGCGTGTTCAGCATTAGCTAACCCAGGGTTTTCTTTCCACAGGGAGCCTTTTGGGGACTGATCTTAGGATTTCTGATCGGGATTTCCCGTATGATTACTGAGTTTGCCTATGGAACCGGGAGCTGCATGGAGCCCAGTAACTGTCCCACGATTATCTGTGGGGTGCACTACTTGTACTTTGCCATCATCCTCTTTGTGATCTCCATCATCACCATCACGGTCGTCTCCCTCCTGACCAAGCCCATTCCAGATGTGCATGTGAGTACCCACATAGGAGACCTGCTGTGCCCTTGTTTCATGTTCATGCCGCAACACTCTTGGTTGGCCGCCACTCGGTTAAACATCTCACACCCACGCAATCGAAATAGTCCACATGTGCCACTGGTTTCATGTAGAAGGATACAGTACATGGTGTGCCACCAGGACAGTATCAGGCATGCGTCTTCAGTAAGAGTCCTCAAAGCAGTCCACACCTCAGTCCAGGGGCTGGTTGCTGGATCTTGCTCTCAAGTGACACCTCAGCTGCAAGGGAATGGGATCACATGGGTGGGCACAGGGGTACCTTGGCTCAGAAGCTCATGTTCCCAAACAGGAACTGATACTAATATTTGTTGTAACAGTCCTATGGTGAATGCTTTCAGGGATCCCAGCAAGGGATGTGCCTTGTTATAAAAATCTCTACACTCAGGGAAATACGAACTATGGTTTACCTCTTGATTTCTTTTCCTGTTAAGCCACCAAACAGTTGCCCATAGAACTCAAGACTTTTCAAACAGTATCAAAGTCCAATTGATTCAAGACTTAAAAAAATTACAATTACTCTTTTAGCTCTAGATACTGCCACTGGTTTAGGGCTCCTTACTAGCTCTCTCAATCCAGATAAAGATGACCGATTATGGGCCATTTCTACCATAAGCAATATAGTCTGGTGACCCAACATGGGTGACATTCCACTTCTTTTAGATTTCCAAGGGAACAGAGCTAGAAAGTTAACCTAATGTCAGATTTATCCATAAGGAAAGATAAACACTTTATTCATGCATGCACAAATATAAGGGCCTATGAAATCCCTAAGAGACCTTCCACCTCATTGCCAAATTTTCAAGAGCTGTGACAAACCTTAATGTCTAACAAACACTGCTTTTATAGCAGTAGGACCACCATCACATCTATTGGCTGGATCTGTCATAAGCTTTCTCTGTGATGTATCAGTGACTTCTCCATGTTTTAGTCTTTGAAAGTATCATGGGCCCAAACACACGTGGCTCTGTGCTTCCTCTTGAGGTAGGGAAAGCAAGGTAGCCACTTAAGGGCATTGTTAGGATGAACATGTTACATGGATTTTCAGACTTTTTCGGTTTCTGGTTCATGCTGTAGACTATGTCAATAGAAACTGTGCTTCTAACTCTACACCATGGCTCATGGTCCTATAGATTTTTAAAAGAGAATTAGGTATGTTTTTACTACATTTTTTACACTCTACTTTTAAAAATTTTAATAGATTTAGGGGGTATAAGTTGAATTCTCTTCCATGTATTAATATATATTATATAATGGTGGAGTATGGGCTTTTGGTGTACCCATCACCCAAGTAGTGTACATTGTCCCCATAGGTAATTTTTCATCCCTCCCCTGCCAACTTCCCCCCTTGTGAGTCTCTCGTGTCCATTATCCCACCCTTCTACAGATTCTTATCCCCATGATATGATATAGTATAAAATTCTGAACTTCCACTGCTGGTCTAGACAAATGGCTGTCTAGTCCTGTTTCCTAGCACTGGTGCTAAAAGAAACAGATTCATTTATCACATGTAAAAAAAGAGTTTATTCATTTAACAAACATTTCTATGTTGGAGGCAGTCTCTCAGCCTCTGAATATACATATATCATAAGGGCCAGTGTATACATATGTATGAGTTACATCTAAATTCCCAACACTTTTAGAGATAATGCTGTGCTTGGAAACTGTTATCTATATTGTTGTTGGTACCAAGAGGCCACATTCATTTTCCTTTCTTGATGCATATCTCTTCGCTCCCTCAACTTCTTGTCCCGAGATGCTATTTGGCTCTTTCTGTTTACCTGTTCTGTCTTCTCCACAGCTCCACCGTCTGTGTTGGAGCCTGCGCAACAGCAAAGAGGAGCGAATTGACTTGGATGCAGGACAGGAGGACTTCCAAGAACCCCCAAAGGAGGCCATTGAAATAGGTGATTGATGACTCGAAACTAATACCCAAACCATAAAAAGTTAATCCTACAGCAGCAAGACAACTTTACTGAAGCCTTCACTAAATGCCTTCATCAAAGCTCAGAGCCATCCCCTATGGGGGATCGAGGAGTGGAGGGGTGGGTGGGATGAATAACTGGGTTTTAGGAAGTTCACTTTGAGGCCTGGCTGGGGGGACGAGGGAGGTGCAGAATCATTTCAGCTCCTTCATTCCTGGGTGTGGGTGAGGAATTTGCCACCTTGCCTTGATTAGGGCATGGCCAGCAATAAGAGAAGAGTCAGAGCTCTTCTGACATAGGCTGTGAGCTGAGAGCAGATGGCACCAAAGCTATGGTCAGTTCTAGTGACATCACAGGGATAGGATAGAGGTCCTTGGGATCTTGTGTCTTACTGGCTTGTGATATCAGATTTCAAAAATCAGATTTCTCTGGAAGCCTGGTAAGATAGTGCTTAGTCAGTGCCCAGAGATTTTTCCTTACAGTTAATGCTTTCTTCAACTTCAGTGTTGCAACTTTTCCTCCCTACGTGGGAGAGGTGCACAGTTGGGGTTTCGTTGTGGAGGTGTGTGGCGTGCAGCACTGTGGGAGCTGAAGGTCGCATGCACTTTACGTGGTGCTGGGTTGGAGGTCTCATCACTCTGATTTGAAGGAGAGCACAGATGCAGCAGAACAAGTTCTGAATCTGGCATCAGGAGCATCATAGAATCCCAGCTCTGGAAAGGGCCCTCAAGATCTCTTGGTCTTATCACCTCAATTTAGAGACATATAAGTTGAGGCTCAGGGGGAGAGGCTTTGCCTGTGGTCCCAGCTCTGATACAGTCTGCTCTCGATCTGCAAGGACCTTTCTGTTCCAAAACCTGCGACTCTGCAAGTGCTGGAGGGAGCAGGGAGCCACAGGCAGCTGGCCGTGGTGCTGAAAACAGGCAGCCCCTTCTGGCTTCCCTAGAGCAGGCAGGCGTGAATATGCCCCTACTTCTCCTACCTTCAAATATGTACCGTGTTGAGTACATAATGTAGATTTTAAAGGGACACGGATGAGGAGTATTTTGAGTGTCGAGAGGTTTTAATATGGAAGAGGAGATTATTTTTGCACTAGAGGGCAGACCTAAGACTGGTGGGTGGAAAGATCCCATCCAATTTTAACTCAGAAAAAGGAGGCAGCATAGTACCGCGATAAGCTGTGAGATTTGGAATCAGGAAGAATTGGGATTGAATCTTGACTTTTTTTTTTACTACTCCGGGAATGTGATTTAATTTTCTAAAATTCAGGTTCCTCATATAAAAGCATTCTACACCTCATAGCAGAGTTGGAAACATTGAATGAGATAATGCTCCACTATAGGAATTGGCTGTAATCATCACCATCATGATGCCTTTGAAGGAAGAGTTTTCTAATTGAGCTTGTCTGGAAAGGGATGAGCAGCAAGTGTGCATCTATTGGGGATGCTGCAGAGGGGACTTCCACACTAGCTAGAGAATTGGCTTGGTGACCTCCGCGGTTCTCATGGTAGCACTTGAATTCTTTTGTTTCTCAATAAACTCGCAGTGAAATCAGACTGAGCACCCTCCCAATCAGACTTTCCCAATGTCATTCAACTTTTTATTGCCCCAGATAACCAAGTATTTCTCACTTGAGCTCGTCAGTGAGCCCAACTTCTTGCTCCTTCTTCCCCATTCTGCTATTTTGGTGGAACGAGTCAAATGGGAGGGGTCCCAGGGGGCTTGTCTCTCTTATGTGAGAAAAAAGAGACAATGGAAGAAGACTGTGAGTTGGGTGCTCTCTCATCAAATGAATAAGTTAAATCTGTATTAATACAATGAAGAAGGTTGGATTTATCCAGTTTTACAGATAGCTGGAGATAAGAGTGGTGAATTAACAAGGCCATAAAGCTGGGTTTAGGTCCCACTTCTGATACATGTGTGCACTTGATCACTAAGGTTCCCTCCAGCTCTAAAATTCCGTGACTCTTCTAAAGAAAAATTCTGTGACTTGTAAAAATGGGAATGTGCAGAGCAGTGGTCTCTGATCATGCACTGAAAACCTAGTGGGCTTGATCTCATATCTACTGAGTGGCAGAGCTGGTATTTGAAACCAGGTCCCTCTACTTCCAGTGCCATACCTGGGCTAGAGGAGGGAGTCAGTTGCCTTCCTGGGCATCCACTTTGAGTGTCAGGACAGTTGGACGGTTTGATTCAGCAGTGCTGATGTGCAGCATGAGATTTTTTATTTCAGCATATTATGGGGGTACAGATGTTTAGGTTACATATGTTGCCCTGGCCCCCCCTCCCCCCCTAAGTCCGAGTTTCAAATATGTCCATCCTTCGGGTGGTGCGCATTGCACTCTTTGTGTTGCAGCATGAGATCTTAAGCCTTGGAGGTGTTGATCACCACTGCCCTGTATCAGGAGCTGTTCAGACCAATTTTTACACCCAGCTGGGTCTGTTGAGAAGCCTTAGAATTGACAGATGTAGCCAATGTGCTCTCGGGTCATGCCAGCCTCATTGCTTTCCAGTGATGTAACCAACAGATATAAGTTTATGTGGGTTCTTTTTTTTTTTTTTTTGAAATATTTTAGTTGGTTTTCAAAAAAATTTCAGAGTATTATGGGGGTACAAATGCTTTGGTTACATAAATAGCCCTCGCACTGCCTGAGTCAGAGCTACAAGTGTGCCCATCCTCAAGACAGCGCCCACCACATCCGTTAGGTGTGAATTTACCCATCTCCTCTTCCCCCTCCCACTGGCCTGACACCCTACGAATGTTATTTCTCATATATGCACATAAGTATTGATTGATTAGCACCAATTTAATGGTGAGTACAGGTGGTGTTTGTTTTTCCATTCTTGTGATACTTCACTCAGAAAAATGGGCTCCAGCTCCACCCAGGATAATACAAGAGGTAGTTCACCATTTTTAATGGCTGAATAGTACTCCATGGTATGCATATACCACATTTTATTTATCCACTCATGTACTGATGGGCACTTGGCTTGTTTCCATATCTTTGCAATTGTGAATTTTGCTGCTATAAACATTCGAGTGCAGGAGTTTCTGCTCTTCAAAGGTGGGTTCCCATGTCCTTCATATGTCACAATTCCCCAGCCCATCACTAACTTTTCTGTCTTATAAAATATTACTTGGACTTACTGTTTTGAATCAAAATGCATTTGCATTGGGTCTGACAGAGATAAAGCCTAGGCTAGCTGGTCACAAGGAAGTAGAATCCATCTAGTAACACTGTCGTGTCATTAAGTTCATTCGAACACTTTGCACCATTTCCATTCCGGAAAACAAGGGATTTAGGACATTTCTGCAGAATGGTAGATGCTCTGTGGCATGGCATCTCCCCTGGAAACCTTTTCTAGTCCCTCCAGCTTCTGTATTCAATAATCCTTTTTTTTTTTTTTTTTGAGACAGAGTCTCACTCTGTTGCTCAGGCTAGAGTGCTGTGGTGTTAGCCTAGCTCACGGCAATCTCAAACTCCTGGGGTCAAGCAATCCTGCTGCCTCAGCCTCCCAAGTAGCTGACTACAGGCACACGCCACTATGCCCAGCTAATTTTTTCTCTACATATTTTTAGTTGTCCAACTAATTTCTTTCTATTTTTTTGGTAGAGACGGGGTCTCACTCTTGCTCAGGCTGGTCTCAAACTCCTGAGCTCAAACAATCCGCCCGCCTCGGCCTCCCAGAGTGCTAGGATTACAGGCGTGAGCCACCGTGCCTGGCCTGTATCCAATAATCCTTTTGTGCCCTTTCCCCTGACACAGAAGCTCCTGAGGAGAAAAAAGGATGCTTCAGGCGGGCCTACGACCTGTTTTGTGGGCTGGACCAGCAGACCGGACCCAAGTTGACCAAGGAAGAGGAGGCAGCCATGAAGATGAAGCTGACAGACACCTCTGAGAAGCCTTTGTGGAGGACAGTGGTGAACATCAACGGCATCATCCTGCTGGCAGTGGCTGTCTTTTGCCACGCGTATTTTGCCTGAGTCCTGCCTGGAGCCGCACATGCGCCATGGCTGGAATCTTACTGCACCTCCCTTTGATCTCATTCTGTGGCATTGTAGGGAAACCAGCCAGTTGTAAATTTTGCCCAGTTGGATGAATGTGTACATGTGTAATTATAGGCTAGCTGGCGGAAAATCATTAGTTTGCTGTTAACTTATGTATTCAAAGCCAGTGTGATACAATCATCTGTACATACTAGAGCTAAGGAAGTTATACCCAGAAAAAGGCAGACTAAGAAACAGAAGTCCCGTGATGACCAAGGCAAGTCCGTCTCAGGTAGATTCAGCGTGTCAACATTGTTTGTAATCCTCGAATATTATTTTAAGAGTTTTGGTCCCCCTGGTTCCTGCCACTTCCCCCTATCGGAATTCCTCTATATACTTTTTTTTTTTAATTTTTAAACTTTTCCCCCTTATCTTATTTCTTTCAAGTTTTTCCCGGCACAGGAAAAATCGATTCTATAAACTGGTGAATGCGTTGGAGCTGAGGTTGGGAGCTTGGTGGGGTCCCTGTGCTAGGTGTTTGCTCTTGGAAGTGCAGATGTGAAGAAGGCAGTACTTGCCCCAAAGGGAGGGACCCAGGCACCAGCCTCAGGCCAGTGGGGGAAGCAGATAATCTTGAATCCGGGGGATTTTCTGATCTTCTTAAAAATGTACATTTTGAGTTCCACCTGTTTGGGATTTCTCTCATTTTGACATTCACTATGCCTGGAATGTTGTAGCCACTCAGTCATGTTTTCTGACTAAATGAATGATATGGGCAGGTATTTAGAAATACTTGTTTTATTTTTACATAAGCCTGGCTCTTGGTTAACCTCTTCTTGTGGCTGCTAGTGACTATAATGAGTTGGAATGCATTTGCCAGAGGCCACTGTGCCCCGTGGTGCCTGTATGAAGTTGACATATGGGCTTAGCAGCTGACACTGTGTCACTTGAGAGAGACAGGGCTCAGGCTGGGGGCATGTATCATCTCAAAGCAGCCGCACCCTCCCGAAACACTGATATAATTAGCCTGAGATCATCCTCCCTGTGAATTCACATGACCACAGCTCTTCCCTTTTTTGGTGTCTTGATCGGTGATCATTGACCGATGAAGGTTATAGTGGGTGGTCTGTGTTCCAGGTGGTAATGCCCAACACTTCTAGCTGAGAGGTGTGTATTTCTTATTGAACCAGTTTCCTGGGGGGAATTCCTTTCATTTAATTTAATTTTAAGTAATTCTTTTTAACATCATCTGTGAAATATCAATTATATTGTAATATAATCCTATTCAAGTGATTAAAAAAATCACAAGGTTAGTATTGACTGATTTCAGGCTAGCTTAGAAAAGAGCTGAGAGTGGTTCTTGGGTATAAAAATGGTTCAACAGGTGAAAGGATGGCTTGTCCTTGGGGAGGGAAGGAAACCCAGGGAGCACTTCTGAAATGCCTTCTCGCTCCCCTGAAGCTGGGCAGAGGGGGTGGGAAAGGTGGAGGATTTCACACGGCTGGCATCGCTCACAGGACTCGGTCTCGTGTGGAGTGTGTGGGATGTTTTGAGCTTTGAGAGGCTAAAGAGAGAGGACCAAAAGCTGGTGGGTGGAGCAGACAGTGTAAAGTTTCTAGATTGTCCTGGATTCATTCAGTTTCTGCCTTTGCCAATGACTTACTGTGTATATTGTGGTAAATTATTTTGTCTCAATTCTGTATTTTGTTTTTTTTTTTTGAAAAATGGGGACCTTGGTGCTTACAGCATCTACCTACCTCCTGCGGTTGTGATGAGGACACTTGGAAAAGCAGATGGGAGATATACACGAGGAGAATGCTATACAGATGGGTATTAAACTGCATTATAGTCCCATAAATTAAAATGCATTACTTTGATAAAAATGAAAACGTTAAAACCCCTTAACATCCTGATTCCATGTTCTCTAGAGATTCTAGACAAATACTAAATACGTCTGTGGTGAGCTTTAGTTAGCACAAAATCTGGATTAGGAAGCAGAAGGCCAGGATAGTTGAGAATAGAATCCAGCAATCTGAACGATTAAAAAAAAGTGTTAAGTTTGGAGATGATTTCAAACATGCAGTGAGTAACTGTACCTGCATAATGTCCCGTTAGAACAGACTGAGCTACTTGGGGCCAGTAAATGATAGATTATACTAGAATAATTTCAGGGGTGCAGGGAAGAACTATTCTTTTCCTTATGTTGAGGATGGTATTATACGTGGGGCAGAGTGACTGCTTATCAATGCTCAGTTTATAGAACTGAAAAATCCTGCCCTATCAGGCAAAAAAACAAAAACAAAAAAGAAAAAAAAGAAAAGTTCCTTTAAGTATGGATGACTATTTTAAAAGGAATCTCTCAAAATGAAAAAGACAGGCCTCCTCTCCTACAGAGTGATGTTGCTCCTGGGGCCTGTGACTTACCTGGCAGTGTTGCTGGCTTTCGTGTAGCTGAGTCAGGCATTGGCATTCACTTAGAGAAATTTCTACTTTTGGAACTCACTGGAATGTACTCTCTCCTAGTGCCAAAACCGTCATCTCCTAAAAGATGCACTGCAGCTTGTGTTTTCTTGTCCTGCTTCACAAAAGCAAACCTTGGGAGAGAAACATAAGTGTGCTTGGTCAGAGGAGAGGGGTTTCTTAAGATTCCTTCCTCTCCTGCTCTGAGAAAATCACCTAATCTCCAAATTGTATTTTGGCGAATGAAGTTGTCTGAGTGAGATGCCATTGTCCTGGAAGGTTGATGGGGACAGGACCAGGGAGGTGTGGTGAACCTGCACTCCTAGGTCATGCTTCAGTGGGGCCAGTGTTGTTTGATTGGCTTTGGATTCAGGTGAGTGCGGTTCAATCCCAGAGCTCCACGTTGCATTCCTAACCCAGCCAGCTTTTGTAGGTCTAAGAGCCACTCAGTGAAGGAACGGGCAACTTGATGCAACTCATCCCATGCCTGGAAAGCTGGCAGCCAATGCCCATCTGATAAAGGGACCTTCTTTACACACGAATGCTGCTGGCACATACACATGCATTTCGGAATCAAAGGGTTCTTGGAGTTGTGATTCTCAAACTATAGCTAAGATCAGAATCCCCTAGAGAGTTTGTTCACACACAGATTGCTGGGATGTACCCCCGGAGTTTCTCATTCAGTGGGTCTGGAATGAGGCCTGAAAATGTGCATTTCTAACAAGTTCCCAGGTGATTTCAATGCTGCTGGTCTGGAGACCACACTTGGAAAATCACTATTTAGAGTCACGTTCCAAAGGGGTTTCGCTTCATCAATCACCAAGGGTGGCAGAACTGGAGAAATCTTCCCCCCCGGCCCTCCTTTGAGATTTTTTAGTGCTCTCTCAGGGGCAAAAGTCTTAGACCCAAGGTGTGTAGGAATGGCTGAGGCACATTGTAATGCCAGGGGACTGAAAAATCCAACCCCCATGGATTTTTAGTGCCCATTTGCTTAATTCTGACCTCCCCCTAGATGCCCAAGGCCTGACACTTAAAAATTTTTTTTGAATTGACAAAAATTGTGGTGTGCAACATGTTTTGATACATGTATACATTGTGGAATGACTAAATTGAGCTAATTAATATATCCATTACCTCACATACTTATTTTTTGTGGTAGGAACACTTAAAATCTACTCTCGGCAATTTTTAAGTATATGATATATTGGTATTAACTATAATCACCATATTGTACAATAGGTTTCCTGAACTTATTCCACCTGTCTGAGATTTTGTAGCCTTTGACCAGCATCTTCCTAATCCCTCCCTCCCCTTGCCCTTGGTAATTACCATTCTACTCTCTGCCTCCATGAGTTTGACTTTGTAGATCCTACATATAAGTGAGATCGTGTAGTATTTGTTCTCTGGGGTGAGGCCTGGTGCTTTTTTTTTTTTTTGAGACAGAGTCTCGCTCTGTTGACTGGGCCAGAGTGTAGTGGCATCAGCCTAGCTCACAGCAATCGCAAACTCTTGGGTTCAAGTGATCCTTCTGCCTCAGCCTCCCCGGTAGCTGGGACTACAGGTGTGCACCACTAATTT